GAGTGACCAGGGTCGGGGCTCAGAGTGTGACCAGGGTCGGGACTCAGTGAGTGACCAGGATCGGGGCTCAGAGTGTGACCAGGGTTGGGACTCAGAATGTGACCAGGGTCGGGGCTCAGAGTGTGACCAGGATCAGGGCTCAGAGTGTGACGAGGGTCGGGGCTCAGAGTGTGACCAGGATCAGGGCTAGAGTGTGACCAGGGTCGGGACTCAGTGAGTGACCGGGATCGGGGCTCAGAGTGTGACCAGGGCCGGGGCTCAGTGTGTGACCAGGCTCAGAGCTCAGCCTGCGTTCTGGTCAGAGCTTATTTGTGTGGGTAGTTGTGAGCCATGGGCGTTGTTAGAGCAGTGACAGGAAAGAGATGGTGGTGTAGTTTTGGAAAAGACAGGAAGTAGGGAGTTCACGTGGTAGAAACTGACAGTAACCTCATAAACAACGACCAAGAAAAGCCCTGGCTGAGAGTGGTGACCCGTACCCTGGAGAGGCTCAAGACAAGGTGATGGGGCAGAGAGGAAGGGCTAGTTCAGATCAGATGTTCAGTGAGGGTCTGTGAGGTGGTAGCATCTAAGCTGAGAGAAAAGCCAGCCATGTGAAGGTCAGGGGAAGAGCACTAGGCAGAGGGACCAGCATGTGCAAAGGCCCTGGGGCAGCACTGAGCTTGGCTAGTGAGCAGGTCTCCGGCAGGAAGCTGGCCTGCTTCTGCCTGCTCTCTGTGTGAGGTGGGGCCAGTCTCTCACACTTGAGGCCTCCAGTCCAGCTCTCCCAACAAGGCCTGAAGTTCCCTGACACCCCTGCCCACCCATTCCGTCATCTGTCCCCTCCCCACCTCATCTAGAACCTTCAGGGCCAGGGCTGTCAGGAGTGATGGACGAGGCAGGCGGAGAGAAGGAGGGAGAGGGCGGGCAGGTGGGTGAGCTGGCGGGCGTGTGGCTGCCAGGCCTAATGAGGGCAGATGGAGGCAGATGGCCATGGAGGTCGGGGCGGGAGCCAGCCGCGGAGCGAGCGAGAGCCACTTGCTCGGCCGCCCGTGACTCGTGTGCCTGACTGGGGCTCCGAGGTTACCTGCGAGTTCAGGGGTGCTGGCTGTGGCCCAGAGTCCCCCTCCCCTGGGACCCTCCAGCTCCTTGTGTGGAAACACAGGAGTTGGTGCTGGAGCTGTACCCTGGGCCCTGCCCCCAGGGACCGCTCCTGTCTGGGTGACCTTGGACGGCTTTCTCGATGTTGCTGGAGCCTGCCTTCTCCGTCCCCGTTAGCCCAGCCTGTCACATTGACTGAATGTCTGTGTCGGGCATGGCCCGAGGTGCTCAGGAACGTGAGGACACTGCAGGGACCGGCCAGCACCCCCGGCAGTGGGACCTGGGCTGGGACAGAGTGACACCCGGAGGAACCTGAGGGCAGAAGGTGGTGCTTCCAGTGTGGGCAAGGGCAGTCCGGGCCACAGGAACAGCGTGTGCGTGGATGGAGAGCCCAGCAGGGTCTGGGCACCCGCGCCATCGGGGTGGCGGGGCAGTGGTGCCCCATTCAGGAGCCCCGGGACCAGAGGTCCCCGAGTCAGGTGGGAGGCGCCCGGAGACAAGAAAGGCCGCCCCGGGGGGCTTCAGGAGTGGGCGGGTTGGAAGGGTCTCACTCTGCAGCCTGCTGACCTCAGCAGGGGTCCAAGAGCTGCTCCGAAGGGCGTCGGCCGAGTCAGACTTGGGGCGGGGGCAGGAGGGGGTCAGCTTCCGATAGGGGAGCCCATAAGAAGCCCCTTGTCCCCCGGCTATGCTTCTCAGTCGCCTCCCTGACTCGCCTCCTCCTCCCTGGACCAGGCAGGCAGCAGGCGGGGACGGGGCTGGTTCAGTCAGTCCCTCGAGTGGGCTTTGGGTTCTGGACGCAGAGGGGCCTCGTTCATTCCTCAGCGAGTACACACAGTCCACCTGCCGTGTGCCGGCGTGCCCTGGGCACTAGGGTACGGGGTGGCCGCGACATGGGCTGTGGGTCGTGCGGTCACACGGGGCGAGCACGTGGATGCATAAGCCGGGTGCTCAGGGCTGCACTGGGCTGCGTGGTGGGGAGCAGCGGGGTCCATCGGCCAGCCCGAGCCACCTCTGAGAGGGGACGAGCTAAGATTGGAAGGCCACGTGACCACCGGGAAGTGTGTCCCAGGCAGAGGGAATGGCTGGTGCAAAGGCCCTGAGGCGGGGACAAGAAGGCAGCCCAGTGGCAAGAGGCAGTCTCTGGAGCTAGAAAGTGGGCAGGGCCCGGCCTGGTGGCCTTGGAGCATTTGGATACAGCTTAGGGCGGGGTGCAGGGAGGACTCTGAGCCGGGCAGGGATGGGGCCTCTAGTGGCATTTTATAAAATCTTCTGGCTGCTGCCTGGAGAAGAGCTCGAGGGGGCTGGGCCTGGCAGGATGGGGGAGGGCCTAGGACTGAGCTGAGATATGTAGGTAAAGTGGAGGGGCCTGGCGGAGCAGGAGGGGTGCTGAGGGAAGAGGGTAGAAGGTGGGGGTTGGTGTGGCCATGCGGAGAGCAGGGTTGGGTGGGAGCCAGGTTTGGGGGAAGTGGGGTCCAGGTGCCCGTCAGATGCCCAGGTAGGTGCAGCTGGGGCTGCGGGGGGCACCTTTCAGAGAGCACGGGACTTTCACTCTCGACTGGTATTCCAGAACCACAGCCCCTGGGAGAGCTGTCCATGGTGGGGGCGCAGGGCCTGGCACCTCCGTGACCCCGCCTGTGACACAGGGGAGGGTCCTTCTCTGGAATGGGTGGTGGAGGGGGTGTGCATGAGGTGATGGGGGCAAAGGGTTTATCGCCAGGCTTGGCGTGTGGCTATGATTACACCCTGTGGGAGACAAAGGCCGCGCCCTCAGCCAGAGCCACGACCCCCTCACGGGGGACAGCCCAGAGCAGAGGCACGACCCTCGCAGCTGCAGGAGGCCAGGAGGGTGGCCGCTGGCTGCTGGGCAGTTGGGGGCTTATGAGGGGAGGGGGCTGGGGGGACAGAGTGACCTTGGGGCCCTCCCGGGGCCTCAGTCTACACGCCCGGCCCCTGCCGCCCTCACTCTGTTCTCCGCTGATGTCCGCCAGAACATGGAGAAGGTGATCGTGCCGTCGGTGACGCTCATCGTGGGCTGCGGCGTGTCGTCGCTGACCCTGCTCTTGCTGATCATCATCTACGTCTCCGTGTGGAGGTGGGGCCTGCGCCGGGCTCCCAGGAGGGGGGGCCGGGCCGATCTGTCCCTTCTCCCCTCCAGGGCGGCCCCGGGGGTGTGGCTTGGAGCCCCCTCCCTCTCCCCTCCATCGTCACCACCGCCGCGCCCTCGCCTGCCCTCTGCTATCACGGACAGACGGCACTCCACCTCCACCCCTGCCGCCCCCTCACCCCTGTCCCCTCGCTCTCCCACATCCCCGACTGCAGGCTGCTCCACAGACACTGACGGAGCGTGGGGGTGGGGACACAGGCGCAGGCCTGGGGTAGATGCCCCGCTGCCACACACAGAAGGCAGCCCCGCTCCCTCCTGCCCCCTGAAACAACTTGCTCCCTGGCAGACGCCGGCCCCAAGCCTGCTCCCAGCCGGGCACCCTGCCCCTAGACCACTAGGGCCCCCATGGCCCCCTGACTTCTCTGTCTGTCTTGTCACCTGGACAGGCAAGGCCATGGCCTTCTCGGACCCCAGGGTCAGGTCTCAGGGCTGGGACCTCTGCCCACTCGCTGCCCTGCAACCCCTCTGCCAGGCCGCGAGGCCTTGTCGTGGGACCCCTGTGCACCCAGGTGCTGTCTGGCCAGTTTTGGCCTGTGGGGTGCAGGGCAGTGTGGGGGCGGTGTATGCCGTGAGGACTCTTGTCCCAGCTGGTCACCAGCCCTGGAGTGGGGGACATGTGTGCAGAGGTGTGGGCCTCAGCAGGCCCAGGCGGCCACAGACATGTGTGAGTGTGTGAGTGCACGTGCACGCGTGTGTGGCGGGGCGGGTCCTGTCTCCTGCCCCCAGGGCCCCACTTGGAGCCCCATTGAGTAGAGGTTTGGGACATGGAGGGTGAAGTCAAAGGCACCCACTCAGCAGCTGCCCACCGGGCCCAGCTGGGCCTCCCAGTGTGTCCAGCTCTGTGGGCAGCACGGTGTCAGCCGATAATCGGAACTGACGCTGCCCCTGAGGCCAGCGGGGAGAGGTCGATGTGGCCGGTGGGGGAGGGGTGGCCTGTGCTTCCTGGTGACTGGGTGGCCGTGAGCAGCAGGCGCCCCTGCTCTGTCCTGCCCGAGGCTGGAGGTGCCAGGAGGGTCAGCTGACCCAAAAATGCAAGTGTTCAGTGCACCTCCCACCGAGCACTCATCAGACGCTGTGTCCTGAATCCCCTGTGGGCGTGCGCGGCCCCCTGGCCCAGCCCCTCCCTGTCCTGACATCTGGGGAAGGGGGCTCCTGGGCAGCCCCTCCAGCTCTGCCGAATGTGGTTCTGAGATTTTTACCCTCAGTTTTCAAAGTGTCTCCTTCTTGAGCTCTGCTGGCCATTGCTGCCCCTGCGTCCTGCAGTCAAGATCCCAGCCTGATGGTCCCTATCAGGAAGTGGAGACCCAGAGAGGGGACATGACACACCTGAGGTCACACGCCCCATCAGGCCACATCATGGCCCCCAAGGCTTGGCCCTGTACTCTGTACTCGCCACCTGCCTGGACCTCAGCCCCCAGAGCTGCTGGGGACACTGTGCTGGGAACCAGGGGAGCAGAACTGATGATGGCTGATGCTTCCTGCGTGCTAGTTCTTTCCTCTCGGCCACAGCCCTGAGCAGCAGGTGCTGTTACCCCCACTCCGTCTCACAGATGGAGAGACCGAGGCACAGAAGGGTTGTGTGTCTTGCCCAGGGTTACACAGCTAGGACATGGCCCAGCCACTGCAGGCATGGGCTCCGAGTCCCCACTCAGAGAGACTCCTCCTTCTCACCTCAAAGTCAGGATCAGACAGGGCTGGCAAGGCTGCAGTGACAGGGATATGGCTGGGGGGAAAGCCAGGAACAGGCAGACGGTGAGACCCTGCAAATCAACTGTGTCCAAGGGGTGGAGTGACACGGAGAGGGTCTTGTGTGACAAGGAAAAACATTTCTAAGGAAGAGCCATCCCCAGCAGGAATGGGCAGCTGTTCTGAGTGGCTTCATAGGGCTCTCCCTGGCTCCTGACTCTGTGCTGGAATTTGGTATGTGGTAGAGTGGAAGTGGTCATGGTGGTGGTGGTGGTGGAGATGGTGGTGGTGGTGGTGGTGGAGGTGATGATGGCGATGATGGCAGTGGTGGTGGTGATGATGGTGATGGTAGTGATGGTGGTGGTGGAGTTGGTGATGGCAATGATGGTGACAATGGTGATGGTAGTGATGGCGATGGTGGTGGTGGTGATCGTGGTGGTGGAGTTGGTGATGGCGATGATGGTGACAATGGTGATGGTAGTGATGGTAATGATGGTGGTGGTGATGGTGGTGGTGGAGGTGGTGATGGCGATGGTGGTGGTGGTGGTGATGGTGGTGGTGGAGATGGTGATGGTGGTGATGGTGAAGGTCGTGGTCATGGTCGTGGTGGCAGCAATGACAGTGGTGGCGGCAGTGTCCACAGGGAGGATGTAGCCCCCTGGTCTTGGTGTGGCCACAGGACCCCAGGTCTTGTGAAGGGAGGCCCTGTTGGGTACTGACCATGAGTCTCCCTCCCTCTCCCACAGGTACATCCGCTCAGAGCGGTCCGTCATCCTCATCAACTTCTGCTTGTCCATCATTTCCTCCAACGCCCTCATCCTCATCGGGCAGACCCAGACTCGAAACAAGGTAGGTGGCCTTGGCCCTGTCATGCACCTCCCAGTGTCCCTGAGTGGGGTGGGGTGATGGTGGTGATGGTGATGACCCCCAGCAGGGGCCTGGACCCAGGGATCTTTGGGGAGCATAGGGAGGAGGGTGCCAGAGCCCCATGGAATCCTGTGCTCTCCTCTGGCCATGGGAGCCGTGCAGCCCAGGCCCGAGGGGCTGTCACCTGGCCAGGATGGGCCTGGGGACTTCGTGTCTGGAGTCTCCAGCTGGTGCTTTGCAATGAGCCAGCTCCAGGCCCCTGTCCTCAGCCCACCGTTGGGGACCAGGCTCTATCTGACCTTGTCTGGCCTTGGGGATGACTTGCTCTCTCTGGGCCTCGAGTTCAGCACCTACTGAACACGTGGGCTCGACCCGGGACTTTTGAGTGGGCACCCTGCGGGTGTCTGGTGCGTCTGTGCATGGAGGCTGAGGAAGATGGGGAGGGAGGGGGTGTCTGTCCCCGGCGGTTAGTGGGCGGGGTCACGCGAACACCACCAAGGGGCCTTTAGATGTTCAACAGCTGGTCTCAGGGCAGTGGCAGGCGACCCCTCTGTGGGCTCCTGTCTGGGGATTGGCCGTGGTTGCAGCAGCGGGCGCCGGGCCGGGCCTCTCCCTGCCTCACTGGGCCGTCACGCGGCCGGGTGAGCGAGATCCTCCCCACCCCCCACCTGCCCGCCCAGGTGGTGTGCACGCTGGTGGCCGCCTTCCTGCACTTCTTCTTCCTGTCCTCCTTCTGCTGGGTGCTCACCGAGGCCTGGCAGTCCTACATGGCCGTCACGGGCCGCCTCCGGAGCCGCCTCATCCGCAAGCGTTTCCTCTGCCTGGGCTGGGGTGAGCGCTGGGGGGTGAGCACTGGGCGGGCGCGTGGGCGGGCGCCCCTCCCGGGCCTCTGGCCAGGGTCCTGCCCCTTACAGCCCCTCCCCTTCCCCCACCCCCTCTGGGGGCTCTTGGTGCTCCCTGGGTGGGACCCCCTCCTGGCCGCCCCCTCCACAGGGCTGCCAGATCCAGTGTGGGCGCCAAGTTCAGTTTGAATTTCAGATGATGAACAACTTTTTAGTGTAAGTATACCCCATTCAGTATCTGGGATGCACTTATACTAAGAAACATTTCCTTTTTCATGTGATGTTCAAACGTGACTGTTTGTCTTGCGTTTTATTTGCGGATCTGGCTGCCCTGCCCCCAGTTCCGCGGGTCCTCATCCCTGACCATCTCCTGTCCCCTGTCTTGTGCGCCCAAGGTCACCGTCTGTTCAGGGACCTTAAAGGCGCGTTCCTGGTACCCCGCCCCCTGCTGGCGGGAATGGAAGGAGGCGGAGGGCGGACAGGGGCTTGGGCGCGGGGGGTGGGCCAACTCCCTTTCTTTCTGTCCTTCCCCAGGGCTCCCTGCGCTGGTGGTGGCCATTTCCGTGGGATTTACCAAGGCCAAAGGGTACAGCACCGTGAACTAGTGAGTCGGGGCGGGGTGGGGCGTGGTGGAGGCCACACGGCTCCCCCAGACTCTCCCACCACCCTAGAAGGTGAGGGCTGGCCGGCACCCGTCTCGCACATGAGACAGCCAAGGCTGGAGAGGGCGGGGCCCGGGAGCTGGAGGCCGGGCTCCTCAGGTGGCCTCCTGCATCCCATCAGCCAGCTCCTCCCTGCAGTGGGCAGCAGAGTCGAGAGAAATGGGGCTTGGGGCCATCGGAGCCTCTCTCCTCCTCCTCACACGGCCCTGGACAGGTCCGTTAGCCTCTCAGAGCCTCAGTTTCCCCATCTGCATGATAGGGCGTCCACCCTTGCACAAGGGGAACTGTGTGGCCCCTGGGGAGGGCAGGGCAGGTGGGGGGGTGGCTATTTCACAGATGAAGTCACTGAGGCCCTCAGGGTCAGCTGGGCCAGGTCCTGGGGGCCTGGAATGCCAAGCCAGGAAGCTTGGGGTTACCCTAGAGGCAGTGTGGCTTCCCGGGGTGGGGGGAGAGGAACCGAGGCCTGGAGGGGCTGTGGCTGCCAGGATGGGGAAGAGCAGGACAGCGAGAGGCGGGAGGAGAAACTGGTGAGGCTCGCAGGCTTGGCTCACTGTAGAGCCCCAGGGGACAGAATGTGACCAGGCCCTGGAGCACCACTCCACCTGGGCGGTGGGGGGCAGCAGACATGAATGAGGACCCAGTGACTTGAAGTCCCAGTGGGGTGCGTGCTGCGAGGGAAATATGGACACCATCCCCAGAGCTGTGAGGAAGGAGCACCCAGCCTTCTGGGTTAACGGTGGGTCAGGAGAAGATGGGATGTTGAAGTGGGGTTCTGAAGGATAAAGAGGAGTCTGTTTAACAAACAGCGTGGCATAGGACAGGGCAGAGGAGGCATTACATGAAGAATGCAGAGTGTCCTTGCTGGGCTCAAGGCTCATGTGGGCCACCATGGGTGGTGTCCCTGATATTTGGGGAAGTGTGGGGCTCGTGACTGTGTGGAGGGGTCAGGCCAGATGTGTGGGTAGAAGGCCAGGTGCTGAGGCCGTAGGGCCTGGGTTGAGTGGGCGGATAGAGGGCCAGCCTGGGGCCTAGCCCAAAGTTCTGGCATCACATCAGGAAGGAGGGTCTGCGCAGGAGATTGGGGAGGGTTTAGGAGGTGAGAGTCGGGGGTGGGGTGGCCAGGGCACGTCCTCTGGCCGGCCTGGCCCTCCACTGCGTGGTCCGAGCAGATGTGGCCCCTGCTCTGCCATCTGTAAACTGGGGTGATGGTGCCACAGGGGCTCCCGAGGGTTCTGAAGCTGAGGCGCGCGTGTGAGGAGTCGTGCACACAGGAGGCCCCTCGGAAGGGCTGCTTCCTCTTGCTGCTGCTTGCCTCTTGCCTGCCCTCCTGAGAGGCTGGCAGCGTCCACTCTGTGACGGAGGAGGGGCCTCACGCTGGCCGCTAACCAGCCCGTCTCCCTCCCCAGCTGCTGGCTCTCCCTGGAGGGGGGACTGCTGTACGCCTTCGTGGGACCGGCCGCCGCCGTCGTGCTGGTACTGACCCCGCCCTGCCGTCCCGGGCTGGGCCCCTCATTCCCCCCAGGCTGAGCCTGCTGTGTCATCAGGGTTGGTTGCCCTGGTCACTAGGGGGTGGGTGGCGTCCACTGTCCCCTGGCCTGCCGCTGGGGTGCAGAAGCTGAGCTAGGGTAGCGGCCTTTTATTTCTGTGAGCACAGCTTGCCTGATTATTCGGCACCGGCTGTGTACCTGCCAGGGGATCCGTGCAGGTGTGGTGAGTGAGTGACGGGGTGGCGGGGACGGGTGGACAGAAGGATGAGCAGGGCAGCAGGGGCGCGGGCTAGGCCTGGGTGCTGGTGCGGAGCACGGGTGGGCTGCGCTTCCCCCTCGATGGGCCGGCGGCCCTCACCCTGGAGGAGGAGGCGGCTCTCCTCCTCGGCCCTTGGTGTTTCCGTTCCCGCTGTTTCTCACGTTCGTTTGGTGAGGGATGTGAGAGCGCCGTGTGGCACCAGGGCTATTGTCCCCGGTTACGGATGAGCAGGGGTGGCTGGGGGCAGCTGGGGGCCAGGCCGAGATCGCTGGGCTCCACTAGGCTCCGCTGGGTCTGGCTCTGAGCCCATATCGCCCTCCCCTCCCTCCTGTCCCCAGGAGAGGGCATCGGATGTTCACACAGGCCCACACCACTTTGTCCTGGGGGTGCAGAGCCCGCAGGGGACGAGTTGGGGGAGCCTGGGGTGCGGGGCAGAGGTGTTGGACAGCATCTGGGGGCGGGCCCCAGACTCTCCCCACAGCCCAGCCCAGAATCCCAGCTCCTTCATTCCTCGAAGACACAAGACATGGGCAGGGAGAGGCCTGCGTGCCGCGCATTTCAATGCTGGCGAGTCAATGGCCCTGGTGCCATTTGAAGGGCAGACGCCCCAGTGGGGTGGGAGGGGTGGGAGTCAGAGGTAGGAACCCCCGTCCCCCCACGTCCCTTCCCACAGTGCATTGGAAGGGCAGGGGCTGGTCCTACCCGTCTGTGGGACCCCCGCCCAGGGCCCCTTCTGTAACATGGGGACACACAGGTGAAGGCTGAGCACAGAGCCTGCTGCAGGCTGAGTGGTGGCCAGCGGTGTCCTGCCCTCCTCTGCCTTGGCGACATCAGAAAACGCTTCCACCTAGTTGGGCCCCGAGCGTTGGGCGCCCCAGTCTGGGAACTTCCCGTCCAATAACGGTGGAGGGCAGGGCCCGGGCCAGCCGCCATCTGCAGTCATGCTCGCTCAGCGCTGTGGTGCCACAGGGAGTGGGTCTCCCTGGACCTCCAGGCCCAGGGTCACGGGTCCAGGGATCCACGGGGTCCCGGGGTCCCGGGGTCCCAGGGTCCGTGAGCCGCAGGAACATGGCTGGGGGGTCAGGCTGTACGCTTGGTCAGGCAGCCTCGCTGCAGAGCGTGAGCCGAGGGGAAGCGAAGTTGTGAGCTGGGAGCCTCCGCCACCCGGGAGAGAAGGCGAGAGGAGGGGGGACCCCAGGGTCTCCAGGGCCGTGGGGTGGCTGATGGGGGCGCTCTGGGGACAGCTTCTGTTTGTCATAGGTGGTGGCTTGGAAAGCAGCACAGACTTACCTTAACACTGAGAAGTGCTTCCTAGGGTGTGGGTGCCCGGCGGTGGGGGGCAGGGAAGATGTCCGGTGGGAGGGCCGGCTCTGAGTGGAGGTCTCAGAGAGGCTGCCAGGGGCAGAGAGTGCAGCAGGGTAGCCCCAGGCAGAGCCAGGTCGGGAAGGCATCCCTGAGATGGGCCTCAGGTCGGGCCCTAGTGCGGGGTGAGCCTGCTGTCATGGGAGGGAAACAAGGTCCAGGGATGCTGAGAGGTGGGGGGCCCCAGCTGAGCCTGGGCGTGGGCAGCGGCTGGACTAGACCTTACCTGAGGGCCGTCCTGTGATCTGAGCAGGGCGGGTGCCCAGCAGTGCACTGGGGCCAGCTCACTCGCATGCTTGACTCTCTGCTCAGCCCCGCTCTGGGCAGGGACAGGCCCCCCCTGACCCCAGCCTGACCTCTGATCTCTGGACTCTGTCCCAGATGGGATCCCGGCTTCACAAACTGTGCTGACCACAGTGGACGGCGGATGGGCCTCTGGGCCGTGCAGTGCAGGCCACCCTGTCCAGCGTGCAGGGAGATGCCCTTGTGTCGCCTTCTGAGCCCCAGCTTGGAGCCCAGTGCATGGGAGGATCACATGAGAGGCCCGAGCTGCAGTGCCTGGCCCTGTGGGGGGCATGGGACACGGAGAGCCCACCTAACAGCTGGGGTTCTAGAGGGAGATGGGGGTGAGGGGGCAAGAGTGCGGGACGGTTGCGGCTTTCCTGGAGCCCCGTCTCCTGGCCGGCGAGTGGGCTGCAGGGCCCAGCCCCGTGCGGCAGGTGTGAATGTGAGCTGAGCCGCGGTGTGGAGCCCGGAGCCCCCGCGCTCGCCTCGCGCTCACCGGACCCCGGGTGCCGGCCCCGGGCGGGCGCTGGGGGCGACGTGGCCCCCACACCCGCTCCTCTGTGGCCGGCAGGTGAACATGGTCATCGGGATCCTGGTGTTCAACAAGCTCGTGTCCAAGGACGGCATCACGGACAAGAAGCTGAAGGAGCGGGCAGGGTAGGACCGGGGCCACCGCGGCCCCTCGTCCGCTTTGAGTCACAAAGACCCAGAGCCCCCTGAGCAGGTGGGGAAACTGAGGCACAGAGGTCTGCATAGGCTCACAGCTGCCCCTGCTTGCTCCGTGCCTCAGTTTCTCTGTCTGACCCACGACAGTGCGGGGGCCCCGTAAGGTCCTTAGAAACCGTGAAACAGATTGCTGTGGAGACCCCACCCCTCCCAGGCCCACCAGGGTGGTGGGAGGCTGCCCTGGCCTCCCCCATCCCCATCATGGGGTTGGGTGGCCCCGAGCCAGGACGTGGCCTGCCCATCCTTGTGGTGCCTTCAGCATGGGGAGAATCAGGGACTGGGCCGGGTGTCCCTGCTGCCCGGGAAACCTGGGCCTGGAGAGGGCACACAGCACTGCTGGCGGGCGGCCCCCGTGGCTGGGTGGTGCCCAGCAGTGGGGGAGGAGTGTGCCTGGAAGATGCTGCTGCTCCAACCCGCCAGGGGACCAGAGCCCCGCAGTCACAGACCCGGGCCACCTATGGGCCGTGCCCTCTCTCCGTCCTGCCCCAGCCCTCTGAGCCCTCCTCACCTCGCCTCTGCCTGCTGCTCTGTCTGTCCCTCTGTCCTGGCTGCTGTCTGTGTGGGGGTCCCCACGCCACTCCACCGCCCCTCCCTGCCAGTCTTGCTCCGTCTCTTGTCTCTCTCTGTCTCTCCCCCCCTTCCTGCTCCTGCTTTTCCTGCTGAACAAGCTTCAGGAAACCTCCCCCTTGGGTTCCCAGAGGGTTCTGCTCCTGGTAGGAAATCTGCTGCCCTGCCTTCTGTAGGCATGTGGGCCTGGAGTCCCGCAGTGGCTGGGAGCCTGGCCTCACGGTCTGTGGGCCTGGGTCCCTCACTCCCTGGGCCTCGGCTCCTGGTCTATGAAGTGGGCCTGAGCAGGCCTCGCCCCAGAACACGCTGTCACCCACACATGCTCCCGGGACAGCGGATCACACACCAAGGAGGCCCCCAGGGCTGCGCACTGGGGTCAGGGCTTTGCCGACCCTGCCAGCTGCGGAGCCGTCCAGGCAGCGGTCACGCAGGGCATGCACCCTGTCCTAGGGCTGTTTTGTTTGCTTTCTGCTGTCACTCTAGAGGCGGGGTCTATGGTTCTGTCCCTTTTTACAGCTGGGACTTCTGAGGTTCAGGCAGCCTGAGTGGCTGGTGGAGCGGGATTTGAGCTGGGTCAGGCGCACGCTAGAGCCCAGCCTGTCCAAGCAGCTGTGGCCTCGTTGGGCCTCTTCCCGGGTGTGCACTGGGTGCCACACAGCCCTGCTCCCCACACAGAGAGGAGGCACCCCGCACACTTCTCAGTGCCTGCTTGCACACACAGACACGCACACACACGGCCTGTGGGAGCCACTACCAGGTAGCTCACAGACGCCTCTGTTGACCGGCCAGTGGGTCCATTGCTCCCTGGCTGGGGCAGTGTGTAGTGAGACCAGATGTGGGGGACTGGAGGGGAAGGGACAGCGGCCTCGCTCCAGGAGTTCTGCTGCTTTGTGTGAATGTGGGCAGGTGGTTGACCCTAAGGGGAGCATGTACACGGGGCCTGGTCCTGCCCTCCCCTCACGCCCCAGCCCGTCCAGCCCACAGACCCTGCGCTGGGCTCTCCCCGCCCCAGGCTCTGGGTGCATCAGGTGCAAAGAGACCCTGAGGACCCCCATCTCCACCTGCGCCCCCCATCCTGCCTATTTGCCGCCTCAGACCCTGTCCCACCTGTCCCACCCCAAGACCCTGTCTCCCCCAGAACCCTCTCCCCCCAGGACCCTGTTTACCCCAAGACCCCATCCTCACTTCCCCCAGAAGCTTGTCCCCCCTCCCAGGACCCCACCTCTCCCAACCTAGGACCCTGTCCCCATTCCCCCAGGACCCTATCCCCACTCTGCCAAGGACCCTGGCTCCCCCAGGACCCCATCTGCCCCCAGGATCCCATCCCCGCTCCCCCCAGGACTCCGGCCCCCCAGGGAGGCCCGGGCTGGCCCGCTGTCTGGTTGGCTTTGCCTTATCCCTCATCGGTTTTTGTGAGAACAGCATCTGCGTCTGTCTCAGCCTCTTAATTTCACTTGCAGTCCACTGCCCCAGGCCCCCCTTGGGCGCGCCCTCAAATGTGCCGAGTGTGGAGCCCTCTCTGCGGCCGACGCCACCTCTGAAGCCGCCAGTAACGCCATGTTAGTGCCTCTCGTCGCCAGCGCCCGCCCGCCGGGCTCTGCTCTCCTCTGAGTCACGTTTTGTTTGTTTTAATCTTTCCTGTCATTTCTGTCACCTCTCCCGTCCACTCTGGGGTTCCTAGGCAGCCCCTGCCCAGCCTTCCCACCTCTACTCTCCTGCCAGGCTCCCCCTTCCATCGTCCTGGCCTTGCGGTACAGACAGACCAGAGAGCAGGGAGTCGGCCCGGCCTCAGGCCGCGGGCAGCGTGTGGCCGTGGACCGGGTGGGGCACTGGTCAGTGTGAGAATGTGGTCAGCTGGTGGCCATCGTCAGTGTGTGGTCGTGCTGGGGTCGGATCAGCGTTCTGTGAGCATGTAAGAGCGTGTGGTGTGCGTATGTGAGCGGATTGTGAGCGTGAGTGTGCAGGTGTGAGTGTGTGCGTGTTGGTGAACATCACGAGTGTGTGAATGTGAGTGTGAGAGAGGCAGTCACGGCCATGGAAACAGGTGGACGGCTCGGGGCCGGCTGGCTCGTTTGTTGACCGCAGGCAGCCACAGGGCTGTGAGTAGGGCAGGGACGGTGGGCCTGGGGTCTGGGGTGGAGGCCTGACCCCAGAGGGACCTTGGCACAGTTGAGAGTGGCCAGGTCATCTTGTCCCCAGACCCACACGTCCCCTGGGGCCCTCCTGTGTTCGCTCCCCGAGCTGGGCACTGGGGCCCAGGATTTCAGGAGCCCCGTGGAGAGGCCCTCCTGGCTGTGGGAAGCACGTGAGCTAAGGTGACACGGGATCAGGGCAGGCACTGGTCCGGTGGAGCCAGAAACGCGTGGATGGGAGGGTGGGAGGGGATGAGGCGACAGGCGGGCTGCTCCCTGCGGCGCAGGGTCTCCTCCAGCTGCTAACGCTGGGAGCACCGCCCTTGGGCCTCAGCATGGCCCTTTCCGTGTTTCACCACCCGTCTCGACGGGGCAGGGGGTACCATTTCACCCTGAGGTGCGGGGTCACGAGAGCCCTGGGGGTCGTTGCCTGCGAGGTCATGCATGCATCGAGTTGGAGGCAGGGTTCCTGCTGCTCCCTCATCCACACTCAAAGCCCCCCACCAGGGGCTCTTGATTTTCCAAGGAATGGAAGTTGCGACTGGCCACGGCCCCTCCCCGCCAGCCCTTCTCCTCCCTGCTGATCACGCCCGACCTGCCAGGTTTCTCCACGAGGCCTCTGCAGAGTGTCAGAAGCCGCAGAGGCTGGGCTGCAGGAATTTGAGTAATGGACAGTCCCTAGGCCCTGGCGTCTGCCATCCTCAGAAGCATCAGACTGCAAGTGTCGGGCCTCAGGCCCGAGAGAGGATGAGTCACGGCAGGATGAGGAGGATGGGAAGCTTTGGCGGGTGCGGCTCTGCCCCCCCTGCTGAGAACGTCGGAGGCGAGGGTCCAGGGGTCCCTCCTGCCTTGGAAGGGAGGAGACTGTTGGGCCCACCAGCCGTGGTGGGGAAACTGAGCCCCAGGCTGGAAAGGAGCTGTTGGGTGTGTGAAGTGGTGCAGGGCCCGCTGGGCAGGCTCTGTGCCAGGTAGCAGGCTCAGCAGGCGTGGAGGGAGGCAGGCCACCCGTCCTTCGAGGAGGAGGAATGCCTATGGGGACCCAGCCCACAGGCCCCTTCCTCAGCGCCAAGGGGCAGTGGGCCGGGGGTCAGCAGGGGCCCTGGAAGGGGAGGCGAGGAGGGGCTCTGGGAGGTCTGGCTCTGGAGCCTGTGCTGTGCCCAGGGGTGGAGAGAGGTGGGGACTCAGGAAGCCCCTGACCTGAGGGAGGCCTCGGGTGGGGACGGGACGGGAGCTCCATCCTGGGAAGAGCCGGGGCTGGGCCTGGAACGGGTCCCCGGGTCCTGGGGATGGGCCGAGGATGGCCAGGAGACGGAGGGCCCAGGAGGCTGGTGTTTTTGCTGTGCCGGCCCACACAGAGAGACATCTCAAGGGATGAGGACAGAGATGTCCCCGCGGGGCGGGGCCCCTTGTAGTCCTCCACCAGGGGCCAGAGGGGCAGAGCAGCTTCGCTGCTGAGCCACGTTGGAGGGGTGGGAGAGCAGAGCGTGCAGCTGGGGACACGTCCTGGCCCCTGGCCAAGGCCCCGCTGCTTAGTCCCAGCCGGACCCCAGGCCCTCCTGGCCTCTCTCCCACCAGCCCCGTGCCCCCACTCCTTCCTGGCGGCCCCGGCCCACATGCTGGCCCTGCTGTGTCCCGTGACCCCCACCGGAGCTCCCCTGGCAGTTCTGCGCCACCTGCTCCTGCCCCCTCCAGAGGAGGAGGGTGAGCCGTGAGGGAGGAGGGGACGCCAGCCCCTCCCTGGCATTAGTGATGAGGGCCCAGCAGCCCCTCCTTGCCCCTGCAGGCGGTTACGGGACCCTGGGGCGGAGCTCGCCCTGGCTGTGGTCCTCAGGCTACGGTGGCCCTGAGAGTCCTAGTAGTGGTGGGGATGGTCAGCATTTCCCAGACACCTGCTGTCCCCACAACAGCCGCTTGAGGTGACATAGTGTCCCCAGTGTACGGATGAGGAGACAGGCTCCGAGTGGTCACACGTGGTGCAGGGTGGGGCCTGGGCTGCAGAGGGCAGTGCCTGCCATGGGGGTGCTCCTGGAGGAGGGGCAAGGGCTGCGGGGCAGAGGCAGCTCCTCCCCGGGGAGCAGGGCCCGCCAAGAGGAACAAGTGCGTTGGTCTCTCTGTCCGTCTGTCTGTCTCTACCCTGGTGCCCTCTCTGCCTCGCCGTGTCTCCTCTGTCTCCTCCCTCACAGGTTCTCCTGCTGCTGCTCCCTGAGTGCTCTGGTTCTCTCTCTCCCGCTGTCCCTCTCTCTCTCCCTGTCTCTGTCCAGAGCTCAGAGGCCTGGCCAGGCGCCCTCCCCTCTGGCCATCTTGCAGTTTGGGCCCCGGACCCCTGGCTGGGGGCCTGAGAGCCCTGGGAGCCGGAACCAGCAGGGGCCTCCTCCCCTCCCCGTGGCCTCCTGGACAGTCAGGAACCTGGGTCTCCCAGAGAGCACCCTCCCCGCCGCTGCCCGGCCCCTTGAGACCACCCTCCTGAGTCCCAGCTCCTCGGGCAGCTGGGTGGGGGTTGCTGGCGGAACTCTGCTGCCTGGAGAGGAGGCAGCGAGGCTGGCTGGGGAGAGGGTCTCCAGAGAGAGGGCGGGAGGGCTGGGAGCCCCGGGGAGAGGGGGAGGCCCTGCGGGGCCCAAGGAGATGCACCCCAGGCGGGAAGGGCAGCCCGGCCCCCGGGGAGGGAGGTGGGCTGGGGCCAGGTCCCCGGGCGGCGCTGACGCCGACCCCGCCCGGTCCGCAGGGCCTCGCTCTGGAGCTCCTGCGTGGTGCTGCCGCTGCTGGCGCTGACCTGGATGTCGGCCGTGCTGGCCGTCACCGACCGCCGCTCCGCGCTCTTCCAGATCCTCTTCGCTGTCTTTGACTCGCTGGAGGGCTTCGTCATCGTGATGGTGCACTGCATCCTGCGCAGAGAGGTGGGCTGGGCTGGGCGGCACCCGCCAGGGCCGAGCCCCTCTGTTGGGGCCGGGCGCCCGCAGTGTCCCGGGGGCAGCAGGGCGGTCAGCCTGCCCCAGGCGCCGACACAGCCCCGTCCCGCGTGCCCTGAGGGGGAGAGTCTGGGCCGAGGCTGGGAAGTGGGGAGGGGCGGCTCCCGTGGCCCCTGACACTGGTGAGGTTGCGCTTGTGTCCAGCACGCAGCCAGGGCTGCGAGAATGGTCTCTCCATGATAGAACAGCTTCTTCCTGAGGATGCAGACAGGGAGGGGGGCTCCCTCCTCCAGGGGCCTGCGGGAATGAGAGCCACCAGAGACGTAAACAGCTTTCACGACAGCTGAGACTCCTATCCTGGCATCTTCTGGAACTCTCCAGAAGGTAGCAAGAGAAGGTTTTCACCAGACTCGGTTCCGACAGCCACGTGGCTGGTAGCAACGATTAAGGTGGCGTGCCCCCATCTCAGAGGGGCTGAAACATGAAAAGCCTGCGCCTCCGTGTGGGTGCAGTAGATGCCTGCTTCAGGGCCACCTGGAGACCAGTGAGGGGGTGCAGGGCAGCTGGCGGGGTGGGGGGTGAAGCTGGACCAGCTTTGGTGTCAGGGCATCAGCGGAGACTGAAGCGGGCAGACATATGAGATTACCACTACTTCCCCTGGAACCGCCCAGGAAGATGGCAGAGGTATGTTTTAAAGCAAGATGAGAAAGGATTGAGAGCAGAGGAGGCGACAGCAGCAAAGGCTGGGAGTCTGGGAAGCAGAGGGACAGGTGCTCGTGGCCTCAGCCCACCCGAGAGAGCCCGTCTGCAGCCGGCAGGGGGCGCCCTGCGGCTGCTTCACACCACCGACGCCCAGAGCACTTCCGGAAGTCGGGCTACCAGGGCCCTCTGGATGCCGAAGGAAGGTCCAGAGTGGACAATGGTTATCTGTCTGCCTAGGAGGTGGCTTCGATCCCCTCCTGGACTGGGAGGGTGGTCTCTCCAGCCTCCCCCACCTGGAGCTTCACTGTCTGGGGAGTGAACACTGGGCCCTGGCCTGGGGCGCCCTGCACCTCTGAAGATGGGGATGCCATACTGAAACGGATTGAGGGGAACCCACATGTGACCCCTGGTCACCCCGTCAGCTGAGGCCCCCAGCTCATTCCTGCGGGACCCCTGTCATGGCCCCTGTCAGTCCTGCGGGTCCAAGGAGAGCCTGTGCCGGCAAAGCCACAGACCCCCCAGCGGTGGGCCACAGACACAGCCCGGGAAGAAGAGACCTCGCAGACCCCGCGTGACATCTGCAGAGAGAAAACGCTGGCTCACCCGGCCCAGCACCCTTGCGTGCCCGCCCTGGTCCCTGGTTTACGCGTATTGGTGATTCTCAGGACAGCCCCACGGAGCAGTTACGGCCGTCCTCCTGTACAGATGGGCCGGCTCCAGGCCCGCACGGGCCACACTGAAGAGGCTCTAAGGTCACGCTCTTGGTCCTCGGCTGCCTGGCCCCTGGGAAGGGCCGTAATGGGTGAAATCCCCCTGGAGGGAGCATGCTGCTCTTGTGACGCGGCTCATCCTCCCGCAGTGCAGCACCCGGCTCGCTCTCTCACCCGAGGACCCTGTGGACGCGCAGGTGGGGCGTCTCCCCGGGGAGCCAGGGCCAGGCCCTTGTCTTGCCCCGAACTGTCAGGGAGTGAAAGCCATGGGGGACTCAGGACGTGTCTGGACACAGCTGACTCTCCTCAGCTCGACGGTGGGTTCTTACCCAAGGACTCTCGGCAGGAGGGCCAGCAGTGTGTTCTCGGGGGCTGGAACTCCCCAGTTTTGAGTTTTCATGCCACAGAGGGAGTAGAGAGCATCTCAGACGAGAGGAGAGGCTGAGCCCCACCCCATGCACTGGGGCCTGTGTGGATCGCTGAGCGGCCGCTCTGGGGGCCTCACCCTCGCCTTCCCGGCATGGCGCCTGTGGGGCGTGGGCTGCCCGTTCATCTCTGCTCTCCCTCCCCAGGTCCAGGATGCTGTGAAGTGCCGCGTGGTGGATCGCCAGGAGGAGGGCAACGGGGACTCGGGGGGATCCTTCCAGAACGGCCACGCCCAGCTGATGGTAGGTCTTGGAGCCCCCGCTCGGTGCCCCCACCGGATGTCTCTGGTCCTCACTCTGCCCAGAGCTTCATGGGCCGCAGCAGCCCCATTAGGAGGAAGTCCTAGCCCCGTTTGAGGTTGGGGAAACTGAGGCTCGCCATGGGGAAATTCTGGTCTAGGGTTTGCGGTGGGCGGCGTCGAGTGGACGAGTCTGGGCGGGGCTGGTGTCCACCCCAGGCAGTGACCTCTGGCCGCCCTCCCCCTCCATACGCCCTCCACACCTCCTCATTGCCCTCGAGCTCAGCCAGGAACAGAGCTTGGCTCGCTCGGCCTCCCCCCGGGGGCCTGCCCTGGCTTGTCCACTGACCCTCCACCCCGCCGTGGCCTGGTGTCAGGCCAGTCCTCAGGACCTGACCCGCTGGTCCTCCAGCATCACTGCATGCCTCGCCTGCTCCTGCTGCCCATGTTGCAGCTATCTGTCGAGATGTCGCCTCCTCCAGGGAGCCCTCCCTGCCCCCCCAGGCCCCCTGTTCAGGCCCCAGTCTCGCCCTGGGTGAATTCTCCACACTGTCGTTCGGCACCTGCTGCCCACCGGGTGTCCCGGGCACACGGTGAGCCTGCAGGCGGCAGGTGCTCATCCAGGTTTTGGGGTGCCCGGCCACCTCACGGTGGTTGTGAGGGCCACAGGCAGGGCCTCAGCAGATGCCAGCGGCTAGCCCTGGCGAGGCTGCTGGTGTCCTTGGGGATGAGGGCAGGGGCTGGTGGTGGGAGAAGGCTTGATCCTGGGCCCCCTGACACTTCTGGCCTGACCTCTGACCTCTGGTTTCTGGGGGAAGACCTTGCAGTTTTCCAGCCAACCTGATCTCTGCGTTTGCAGTGAAGGAAGCTCCAGACTTGAGATGGAGGGCCCGGCCATCCCCTGGGACCCCCAGCCCCTGGAGAAGGCCACAGCCCAGCCTGGGGTGGCCCAAGCGGGGTTCCCCAGCCGGCTGAGCTCCCTGAGGGCTGGGCCAGGGTCGCCCACGCCCACCTCCCCCAGCTCCTAGCCTGGGGTGGGGCAGGTGCTGCGGCAGGGACCACGGCCGCGGCTCCGGGGCAGCTGGCACGCCCTGGCACTGGACTTCTGTGTCCCAACCCTGCTCTGCCTCTCCCTGGCCGCTGGCCTCCATTTCCTCATCCCCGGGGTTGTGGTGAGGACCGAAGAGGTGACGTGGGGCAGGCCCCCATGCCTGGTGTGTGGGCGGGTGGTGGCCTGGGCAGCAGGGGGCTCTGGCCTGGGCTCTCTGTGCCCTGCCCCACTGGAGGGACAGAGCAGAGGGTTCTTGTACTGCAGGCCCAGGGGCAGGGGTTGGGGGAGACTGAAGCCGGAGGGGGCCGAGAGCGTGAGCGAGCTGCAGGGGGTCTGGCTTCCTGCTTCCCAGCTGATCCGTGAATGGCTTGGAGGGAAAACGTGCTCATGTGCGCAAGCGCGAGAACACACACACAGACACAAGCGCGCACGCGTGCGTGCACGCACACGCAGTAAGAGCACGCGGGGGTGCAGCCACGCCTCCGGGTTTCACTTTGATCACATCAGACGTGGGCGCCCGCGAGAGTGTAGACCTCTTTAGTCCTCAGGAGCGTGCACACACACACGTGCCCCTCCAGTGTGCCGCTGCGGCTCCAGCTGGGCCCTCCCCCTGCCCTGCAGGCCACGTGCTGCACAGGCAGCAACCCAGCCCCGACCCCTCGCCCACAGGCCTCACCCTGCCCTCTGTGTCTTGCAGACCGACTTCGAGAAGGACGTGGATCTGGCCTGTAGATCAGGTGAGCGCCTGACAGGTGAGAGCGACAGGCGGTCCTCGCCCGGGCCCACTCCTTCTTTCTCTTTTCTCCATTCATCTGTCTGTTCATCGTCTGTCTGCGTCCCACCCCTGCTTCCCACAGGCCCCACCGCGGCCCGGGAGCCCTGGTCTGAGCGGGGAGACGAGCATGAGGGCCATCTCTCAGGGCCTGGGCCGCCTCTGTGCCCGCCCCGCCCACCCCCCTAGAGGCTGCAGGCAGGGTCGGTGGGGCATGAGCAGAAGCCTCCAGAAAACTGTCCTGGAGCTCAGGCCGGCAGGTGTGAGGGACATCCAGTGCTGACGGAGTTCTCAGCACCTTCTGGGGCCTCCCTGGCCCCCTCCTCCCTCCTCGTGCCCCCAGTTCTCAGCACCCACACACCCTTCCGTCTTTGTCTTCCCTCCTCCTCACAGGGCAGCGAGGCTGGGCAAGCTCTGTGAGACCTGGAGCTGCCCCACCACCCGCCCCACCTCTAGCCGCTCACCCACCGCTGCCTGTCCATCAATGGCCCATGTTCTGTGTTGCCTTCATTTCTTCATCGTTAGTCCAACCATGGAGGAGGGATGGGAAACATCAATGGGAGCAGGAGGAAAGCAGGGAGAAGATCCCACTGCTGAGCCCTAGGCCAGCCATGAGCTTCCTGGGAGCAAGTGCAAAAAGGGAATCAATTGCCCAATAAAAGGAAGCTCCCCAAGTGTCACTGTTCTGTGAGCCAGGTGTCTGGGGAAGTGACAAGCAGTGTCTTTCTGGGCTATGGAGGCCCACCTGGTCTTGCTTTCCCTAGTCTATCAGATATTTGAGGAGCCCTTTCTCTTAGAGATAGCCATGTGGGAGGGGCTGGGACAGCCCCAGTGGGAAATGTCAGCTGCTGCCAGGTGGACCCCAGGAGGGCTTCCTGGAGGAGTAACCTGTGGGTTGGGCTGAACAGGAGGGAAACAGAACATCCTTCTTGGCTACTCTTAATCTCACATGCTCTAACCAACCTCCCTGAGAGATGACCCCAAGACTTGGGGGCCTTTGGGGGCTTGGGCCCAGCCCTGGTTGGGTGGTACTGGTCTCTCTGAGCCTCCAGTTCTTTCCTTATTAATCACATGGCCCAGCCTGGCCTGTGGTCTCTCGAGCAGCGACAGGCTGGCAGCGGGGGTGGGGGTCACACATGCGGTCGGGTGCTAGTGTGCAGAGGAGCAGGGACCCGCCCAGGCAGGCGTGGGGTAGGGGGGTGCACAACCTCGTTCACGGGCTCGATGCTGGCTCTGAGGTGGACGGGGAGAGCTCAGTGGGAGGGATGTGCAGGGGAGAGGCAGCGAAGGAGGGGGCCTTTCCTGACCCTGGTGGCGGGGGTGTGGGGGTGGGCAGACTTGGCAGGGAAGATGGCAGGTCCCCTGTTGGGACACGTGGAGTGGGGGCAGGACAGGCTGCAGACGTGGGGGCAGGGTGTTGCTGTCTGGAGGGTGGAGAGGAGAAGGGGCCCCGGACCTGCAGCAGTCGAGGAGGGGGAGGGGAGGAGGCCCAGGGGAGGGCGAGCGACTAGTGGCCTGGGCAGCTGGGGGGCTGTGTGCTGACAGCTGGGCGGCAGAGAGCAGCTGGCGAGCGCCGGTGTGTGGGAGCTGGGCAGGGGGTGGCGCAGGAGCCTGTGCACGCAGCCAGCTCGGGGAGGGGAGGGCGCTGCGGTCAGAGCAGGTTTCCTGAGGATGGGCGCTGAGTGGGGGTCAGAGGTCAAGGTGGTCTGGTCCCCACACAGCTGAACAGAAGAGGGGGCGGCTGGGCCCCCGGAGACAGGTCGTCGTCCTCACGGCGAGGAGCTGTGTCCCTGCCCTTGGCAGCTGCTGGGAAGGGCGCTGGGCGGGTGGAGGCCATTTGTCCTCTCAGGAGGACAGAGAGGCACCCGTGTCCCCGCCTTGTCTGGAAGGGCAAGGGAACCCCAGCTGCCGCAGCAGCAGACACAAAAGGGGGCGCTCCTGAGACCACCCCGCAGGAGGGACCACGTGGGACTTGGTGGCTCCCCCCAGGCCACCCTGACCCCTGGCCTCTGCCCGCAGTGCTCAACAAGGACATCGCAGCCTGCCGCACGGCCACCGTCACGGGCACACTCAAGCGGCCGTCGCTGCCCGAGGAGGAGAAGCTGAAGCTGGCCCACGCCAAGGCGCCGCCCCCCAATTTCAACAGCCTGCCGGCCAGCGTGTCCAAGCTGCACCTGCACGGCTCCCCCCGCCGCCTGGGCCCGCCCGACTTCCCCAACCATTCGCTGACCCTCAAGAAGGACAGGGCGCCCAAGTCCTCCTTCGTCGGCGACGGGGACATCTTCAAGAAGCTGGACTCGGAGCTGAGTCGGGCCCAGGAGAGGGCCCTGGACACGAGCTACGTAATCCTGCCCACGGCCACGGCCACGCTGCGGCCCAAGCCCCAGGAGGAGCCCAAGTACAGCATCCACATCGACCAGATGCCCCAGACGCGCCTCATCCACCTCAACATGGCCCCCGATGCTGGCCTCCCCGCCCGCAGCCCGCCCTCCCGCCAGCCCCCCGAGGCGCCCCCTGCCCAGCCCCCG